AGCGAGTGGACGCAAACATCAACTTATCTGTGTGAACAGAACAGTACTGGTGGCAGGGCAGAGTTTTAATTTATCTTAAGTGGGAATCAAGCAATTTTTGTTCTCCTCCCTCTTAGAAATAAACCTATTTTACACGAAGCATCAATTTGGCTACAAGGTACATGCCCTGACCCTGAATGTCATAGTTCTTCATACAACAAATAGGGGAAAGGATAGGCATGAGCAATGTGACTACTGACTTTTGATGAGAGTTGAAACTTGCTCCTGAACAGGATTAGAAATGGTGACAAAAACCTATTGTAAGCACAATGGACTTGTACAATATGCTGAGTACAATAGACTTGTACAATTGTAATCTTTTTAACATAGCCAAGACCTCCTCATCTTGTGCCCTCTGCTACATATTCTGGACAACAGCTCCTGCCACAGGAACTAACTCCTAGGGGCTAAGGTCCCTTCGCCCCCTACCAATAAAATATTTGAGGGGGCCAGGCCAAAAATAATCTCTTGTATCCATTTATTGCTTTATCACAAAATTCTCAGCTCAAGAAGAGAAGACACTTTTGACATTCCTAATGCAGTCAAAGCTTTGACCAAGTGTTTTAGCATCTTTAAAGCACTAATTTAAATTGAAGATGCAGTTACTCGGAAGAGATAATTCATAAAAGCAAACACAACCATTAGATCAGAAAGAGAGTCTTGCAGCTCTACTACCCACTAAAGTGTGATTCTGCAGTCATTCCATAGTGAGACCCATTAAGAAACTGGTCTTGTTGATGTTTCAAGCCAACACATAGGTAAAGGTAAAGGTACCCCTGCCCGTACGGGCGAGTCGTGTCCGACTCTAGGGTTGTGCACCCATCTCACTTAAGAGGCCGGGGGCCAGCGCTGTCCGGAGACACTTCCGGGTCACGTGGCCAGCGTGACAAAGCTGCATCTGGCAAGCCAGCGCAGCACACGGAAACGCCGTTTACCTTCCCGCCAGTAAGCGGTCCCTATTTATCTACTTGCACCCCGGGGTGCTTTCAAACTGCTAGGTTGGCAGGCGCTGGGACCGAGCAACGGGAGCGCACCCCGCTGCGGGGATTCGAACCGCCGACCTTTCGATCGGCAAGTCCTAGGGACTGAGGCTTTTACCCACAGCGCCACCCGCGTCCCTAAGCCAACACATAGCAATGATCAAAAGTCAGTCCTATCATTCATGAGGTAGTCCAGGAAACCTTCCAATGCAAGTCGCATCAAGCTGCTGACAGCACAATCCTATATGTATTTACTCAAAAGATACATCCTACTGTGTTTAGGATTGCAGCCTCAGTCCACTAACTGTCCTCAAAGTCTGCTAATCACAGGAAGAAATGGAACAAGTTCTTAGGAAAAAACAGCTCTGTTGATTATAAAGCATTTTTTCTTTGTAAATATGTTCTGGAAAACTGCTTTTGATTGTTGTACTGCCTATAACTCTTAAGAGTCTAACAAACTGAGTCACCCAAAATTGAAAAGAAAAATGAATCCTTTGTTAAAAGATCTTTTAAATAAGAAGCTCAGTTATGAGTGGGAATGCAAGAAGCATTATGTTGACTTGTCCATCTAATTAAGTAGGCTTTCTCAAAACAAAACAGACTTTGAGAGTCTCTGTGCTGAAATATCCTTTAAGAGCTTTCTGCTATTTATACCATCTTTACGTGACATAGCAGTCACTCTATAGTATCTTCTATAACAAAAGTATATTGGGGAAAAATAAGCCTGTAGAAAATTTACAGAGGCTTAAATTTCCAAAACAAAATGTGGATATGAAGTTGTGTGAAGAGATTGCAGTCACAACAGTGCACTTTGAACAAGTATTTTAATGGAGGTCCATGGAAGATTATCTGCTCAGGAGAACTGTGCATATCTGCAGAACTAACTGTTCAGAGGTACTCTAAATGCCTCTAGGGGGCAAACAGTAAAGGTGCCAGATGTCCCTTATTTTAACTCACTGACCCTTAATCCAGAATACCACAGTCCATTAGAGCACAATAGCAATCCATTATGTCAGACACCACTGCTCAGAAGTGTTGCTTTTAAAAACAATTAGGTTTGGCAATCTCAATATGAGCTGCCCTCTCTTACAAAACTACAAATAAAGAGCTATATTGCCTAGGAAGGCCTGTGTATACATCAAAAGTTTATTTTGAGGTCTCAGAGTTGCATGTGGCAGGTTGCCTGTTTAGCCAGTTTTTAGATGGCTATGTGAGAGAACACTTTTAGAACGCAACTGACACCAAAGGGCAACTAACTGATGAGATTAATGGTGCTGGAGGGAGAAACCTATTCCATGGAACGAGAATAGACTGTGCACACAAAACATATCTATTCTATGGAAACAGGTAATTCCCATTTATGAGAATTGCTTGGGAAGGAAATAGGCAATTCCCGTTCGGGAATTGCTTGGGGAGAAGTAATTTCTGTATGGCAAGAATGCAGAAATAGATTACACCTGTTCTATTGGGCAGACTGCAGGTTTGTCCCTGATCTACTAAATAAGTACCGTATTTTTCGCTCTATAACACGCACCTGACCATAACACGCACATCGTTTTTAGAGGAGGAAAACAAGGGAAAAAACATTCTGAATGAAACAGTGGATGTATCATTTTTGTGCTTCATGCTGTGGCCACAGACATGTGATCTAATGGTGAATTTGGGGTGACCCAATGCAAAGATCCTGAGAATCCCTGTGGGTCCATGCTTTGTAACCACGTTTTTGCACCATTGCAGCCCCAGGCAACAGTGGGTGCGTGCTTTTTTTGGTGCAGGCTGTAGCCATGGACATGCTATGTGATCTGATGGTGAATTTGGGGTGACCCAATGCAAAGATCCTGAGGATCCATGCTTTTTAACCACGTTTTTGCACCATTGCAGCCCCAGGCAACAGTGGGTGCGTGATTTTTTTGGTGCAGGCTGTAGCCATGGACATGCTATGTGATCTGATGGTGAATTTGGGGTGACCCAATGCAAAGATCCTGAGGATCCATGTTGATCTATGCTTTGTAACCACATTTTAAGTGGGGAGCGAAGGAAAAACAAAGAAGGGACATGAGAGGGGTGTGCAGAGAAGCAGCTGGCTAAGAATGCTGGAGAGGGATTTAACGGGTGGGAGGCAAAAGTTCCCCCCCAAGCCAGCCATCTCTCTCTCTCTCTCTCTCTCTCTCTCTCTCCCTCCCCCCCTCTCCCTCCCCCACTCTCTCTCCCTCTCCCCCAGCAGTACCGGAGCACAGAGACGACACTTTCCCCTCTGCTTGCCTGGAGGGGAGGGGCTTTCCCTGCTCTTTGTTCCGTTTCAGCAATCACAGCAACGAAACAGAGGAGGGTGGGCAGTAAGACCCTGAGGCAGAATACAGGAAAGCTGCCACTTCCTCTTTTCAGGTTTCCCTTCTCCGTGACTCGCGATTTGACTTTTGCTTGATTTTTTGGCTCCAGGGACCACACATTCGCTCCATAACACGCACAGACATTTCCCCTTCCTTTTTAGGAGAAAAAATCTGCGTGTTATAGAGGGAAAAATACGGTAATTGTTCTACTCCCCCCTAGCCTCAATGCCATACTGTTTCAGAATAGCTACTTCACACAACTGTGTACTGACAGAGCAGAAATGAATTTACCTTCTAGAACCACTCTCTCCAAATGCAAGTAGGACACAGCATTTAAAGGGTATTACCCAATGCCATAGAGAACAGGAATCAAGAATTTTTAGAGGAACAATTTTATGAAATGCCACTTGTCATAACAGTGGTGCAGAGCAAAGGAAAGCTACCTCTGATGAAGTTTCCTTTCCCATAGAGCTATTAAAAGGTCCTCTTGAAGACCTTTTAATTAACACTGCTTTTAATTAATGTGTGTAGGTCTGTATTTTAATGCCGTTGCTGTTTTAATTATGCTTTTAGCTTTGACTGATTTTTTTCCAAATTATTGTATGTTGAATTCTCTCTCTATCTTTTAATAGTCCATTTTGATTTGAACCTCCTCAGAAGGGTTTACCCTGTAAAAAGAAATACACATTCTGAAATAAATATATAAACCTAAGAACCCAGGCATGAAAGAGTTGATATTTTAGACTGTAGGCTCCATGGGGACAGGGATACATCCTTTCACTTGCGAACCCATGTACACGAACGGTACTGAAGAAACTAACTAACCCACATTAAACCACCTTGACTATGGCTGCGTATTCACCATACATTTAAAAGCACACGACTTTCCCCAAAGAATCTGAGGGGGCTGCAGTTTGAATGTGGCAGGAATTGTAGCTCTGCGAGGAGAAAACGACACTTCCAGGGATTTTCTTTGGGAGAAAAAAACGTACTGTAAATTCCGCCCACGCACTGTATGAACGGCTGTCAATTCTTTGGATGGGGGGGGGGGCGCAATACCATGTTAGCCCAGATCTTACCACACACCTCTACCTTGCACCTCCCATTGTTACTTGGGAGAGGTTGCTTAGTATATAAAGAAGCCTATATCCTGTCTACCCCTCCTCCCACCCACTTTACCGTTCATTCTCCCTCACCCAATCATTTATTGCAAGCCACCGGTTGGGTATTATTATTATTATTATTATTATTATTATTATCCCGGCAATCATGCAACTGGTATGCCTGGCTCCTCCAGAAATCCCCTCCCCACCCCAGCAGGGAAATGAAATATTGTGTGTGTGTGTGTGTGTGTGTGTGTGTGTGTGTGTGAGAGAGAGAGAGAGAGAGAGAGAGAGAGATCTATACCAAAACTGCCCGCTTCTCCAGCTACCAATGAGCCCTGTACAAATTCACCACACAACACTGCAACATGAAAAGCAGGTGTCTGCATGGTCAGCGGTGTGTGCCCAGGCAGGCTCCATGCCGGATTACGAGGTGGTTGTTTGTGTGATTCTGAAGGGATTCCGCCTGCCTCGGGGTTCCCCCACGATCCTACCCGGTCTGCCTGCCTGCCTGCCTCCCCCCCCCCCCCACCGCCGCTTCTCCTTACCTTCATCCTCGAGCTCCAGTTTCTCCAGCATCCCTTCGGAGGCGGCCGGGGACTGAGGAGGAGCTGCCTGCAGGAGGGCGGGGAGGGAGACACAAGAGAGAGACGGCGGGATCAGCAGCATCCAGGCGCGGAGCTCACCCGACCCGCGGCGGCATCCCCGGGGGCGGGCGGGAGCGGGGAGGACAGCCGGGGGGGGGGGCTGCGACCGGCAATGCTCGAGTCTCGGCCTGACAAGAGCGGGCTCGGTTTGCGACGCCTCCCGCACGCTCCGAGGAAGGGGACTGGCGGAGGGGAGGAGCCGAGGGGCGGGAGGGCTCGGCCGGCCTTTCTCTCCCTCACTCTCCCCACACAGCCCATTAACCCCTTCGCAGTCTCGCCAAGGCCCGGCGGTATACCGAGCGCTCTTCCCGCCCCTTTCAGGGACTCGGTTAGCCGCGCCGCGGGCCGGCTTCCCCCTCAGCAAGGGCGGCATCCCCCTCTCGCAGGGCTGAGGCGCGGAGGGCGGCCGTTAAGCGGCCAACGGCCGCCGGCAGAACGTTGGCGCGTTGCAACCGCCACCTTTACACACCCCTATTTCGGGAAAGCGCAGTGGAACATCCCGCGCTCCTCAAACCCCCCGCCGCGCTACTGCCCCTCGGGAGAAGCGGGCAGCTACCACCTAGCATTTCGGAAAGAGGGAGAGAAGGGGGCGGGCCTGGCTGGCCGGCCGGCGGCAAGTTTCCTATTATGCTAGGGGAATAAGACGCCTACTGTCCTCCCCACTCCTACGCCGCCGTTAAGCGATCAGGGCCGCAGGATTCCATATTAGACTTAAGAGGCGGAGGTAGGACAGGAGACGCGCTTCTTCCCCCACGCACCCCACCCCCGCCAGCTGCTGTTGGTATTGTCCAGTGTGCATTCACCTGCACGGAAAACAGGATGAACCACTGCTCTGGTTCAGGGGAGAAGCTTCATGTTCTTGTGTCCTCCTGCCAGTCACGGCACATAGAGTTGCAGAGTTAGCAGGGATCCCGAGGGTCATCTAGTCCAACCCCCCCTGCAATGCAGGAATCCTGCCCACAGGTGTCCCTGGGTGGGCTTGAACCGCCAACCTTCTGGTTAACAGCCAGGCACACTGACCCAGTGTGCCACAGTAAGAACGGACTGATTTGTCTGGATCTTAGTTTATCTGCAATATGATCCAGATGTTAGTTCCTCTCCTCACAGAGCAGGATGCACATTCTACAGATGTGTTGGTAACCCCAGAGTTTGGCAAGCCTACCATAATGCCTATCCCACCTAACTTTGTTTTTCACCATCACCCTTCATTATGCGCCCACACATTGTATCCCCATTATCTGGTGTGCAACCTTGCTCGTCTTTTTCAGCTCATCCTCCAGTTGCACAAGAAGAATGAGATGGAGGTATATTTCTGCCAACCTCCACATTCAGTACTCATCACCACAGAACAGATCCCACCCTGTGCACTTGTTGTTAGTCTTCAACCCCCCAGCAGAGTGCTTAAGGCAGGAAGGGGGAAATGTGGCCCTCCAGGTATTGGTCACTCCATCCTGACCACTGGCCGTGCTGGCTAGAGCTGATGGGAAGTCCAGCAACATCTAGAGCAGGGGTAGGCAACCTAAGGCCCGTGGGCCGGATGGGGCCCAATTGGTTTCTAAATCCGGCCCGCGGATGGTCTGGGAATCAGCGTGTTTTTACATGAGTAGAATGTGTGCTTTTATTTAAAATGCATCTCTGGGTTATTTGTGGGGCAAAGGAATTCGTTAGTTCGGCCCACCACATGGTCTGAGGGACGGTGGACCGGCCCACGGCTGAAAAAGTTTGCTGACCCCTGATCTAGAAGGCCACAGGCTCCCCACCCTTGGCTTAAGAAGCAAATTTATATCCACACAACAGATGCATATGTTCTTAAATTTTTCAGAGGTATTGGTTCTACTGTTTCCATCCCTGGCTCCCCCACTTTCCAACAGTGCATATGCCGTTCCCCCTTAACGTTCAGCAGAGATGCTGAAAGGATTAGGTAACTCTGACAGCAATGAACAGCTCCTAAAAGGTAGATACTGCACTTTACAAGTGCATTATTTATACTTTATCTGCTTTATCTCGAAGGGTCCATGGATTAACATGCTTAGCCAAACAAGTCTTAGAGGTATAGGCCCAATCTTTAAACTAATTTAAGAAATTAGAGCAAAATAAAAATGGAAAGCTTGTAAGAAAGTCTGGTTCAGAGTAGACTTTACCTGAATGGGATTTGCACAGTAACTACAAATTAGATTTATATCTTGAAAGAATATGGCACGTTACGTAATTTCATGCTTTCCTACTATTGAAGTTGGTTTTCTGTGTTTTCAACAGGCAGAATTTTAAGGAGCACAGGAAAAATTCAGAACATTACTCATCTTTTGTAAGTGCACAGAGTTTATTTTTGAGCTTATATTATCCACTGCCAAACTCTCAGGCTTTCAGGGAAGTAGATATGCTTAACATAAGGATTCTAAATTTAAATAAGTTTAAATCACACTTCTCAACATAACCACACACACAATCTTAACCAAATCCTTGCCTAAATATAAAGGTCTTAGTCTGTATCCAGTGGGTACTTATGCTAGGGTTAGAAGAAGGTGCACCATAACTATGGAGTCAATGTGATCAGAACTACTTCACAGACATATTTCTACTTGTATATAAAATATGACACCTCATTTCCCCCATCTTACTCTTCCACAGTCAGTCACCTCAAATATGCCTGGGGAGTTGCTGCTTCCATCAATCACCCATTTCCAAATTCTTCCAAAATATTTATAGTCTCACTCAATCCTTATTCAGCCCACGGCATCATTCATATTCTTTCACAAGGCAATAGTGCATCTGCAACCAGAACCATGTAATTGTGGAGGAAAAATGCACAGCTCCCTTTGTCTATGTAGAATTGGCTCAGGGAGCAAAATTCAGAGACTGTTACTTCAGTAATGTTATCACATACTCTCAGGTTCTGAATCCAGAGTAACTGTAGTCTCATACTTTGAAATTTGTTCTACACACAGAACAGGTCCACATACACTCTGTCCTCTATCTGTTTTTTTCCAGGATTACTGTTCTAATGCACACGCTTAGTGCACGTTTGATAAAACCATTACTTGAAATGACTTGAAATAACTAAACCTGCAAGCTTAAAACATACTCAGAAGTAGCTTTCCTCCACTGAAATAATTCAAGGCAGGAGCTGCAAAAAAACCATGGTGCGGATCAGCTGAATAAATGATAGGCATATAAAGCAGCAATTCTTGTGGAGCAAGCTTCACAGAACTCAGAGGGACTCATATTGCATAGCCTGGATAGCTCATTCGGTTAAAGCACAGTGCTGATAATCCCAAGGTTGCAGGTTAGATCCCTGTAAGGGACAGCTGCTTATTCCTGCATTGCAGAAGGTTCGACTAGATGATCCTTGTGGTCCCTTCCAACCTGATTCTATGAAGAAGCATGTTTAGGATCTTGCTGCAAGCAGTGCTCAGCCTTATACAAAACAAGGCTTTTCACCAATGCACAGTGGCCAGTGATCTAATTTCTATGTTCTATGAAGTATAAAAAGAAGAGCAGATTTATTGGCTTTTCAGGCAAGGTAACAGTTGCTTTAAGAATAAAGATAACTCTTCATACGTTTCTACCTTTCAGAAGACAGCCTGGTCACACTTGATTTATGCAGAGATTCCATCCCTACCCAATACTTGTCCTTTGAAGCTCATTGGGCAGATACAGCAGCCTTCACAGATTCCCTTTTTATCTTCACACCCCAAAACATGGTTTTCCAGTGCAGTGTTTCAACAACATAAGCAACCAAACACACAATGCAGGAGACTAGGTTTGCCAGGGTGACCAAAACCTCTCCTGAAAGGTTCCCTCGATTTCACATCTTCCTAACCCCTTCATCTTTTGCCTCCCAGTTGTCAGTTTGGATCTTAAGGGTCGTAACTGTTGTTACATGGTTCCTTAAGTGTTTTTCCTTAGAGAGAGACAGAGCCAGCAATTTCCTGCAGGGCTCAGATGCTCCCTGAGGCTTCTGTCTGCCACCAGCCACTGAACTTCAATGAGAGTATTCATTTTCCTCGGAAACAGTTCTCTCCCCCCTGCTGTGCTGTGGCAGCAGATGCCACTGCGGCTTAGGAATGCCCCTGGATGCACAATGCGGCACTTCAAAAGGAGCCATAGTGGCCATGCAGAGAATACAGACTTTTCTTGAAGTCAGCGCACAGGACAGGAACTACCACAGCCCAGCAAGTCCCTAAATTAGGAACGTAACAGAATGTTAATTAAAAACAAAAGAGATGTTAGGCATTCCTCCCGAGCATCAGAATATAATTGCAACTGACGAGACCAGAGCAGAGCAACGGCCCATCTAACTTCAGTATCCAAATCCCAAAAAACGACCAGTTTCAGAAAGCCCAAGGGAGGGAAATAGGAAACCTATAAAAGATCCCAGGCCAGCTCAGCAATTTGTGCTTGCAGAAATAAATCTGCAAGTCATTCTAGTACTCGCCAATCCCACACAGGTATGCTAATAACCCCAGATGCCAAGTCCTTCCAGCATCATTTGTGGCAGAATAATGACTTGAAAGTGAACTTCAAGCTGCACCGATAATGACTGCAGAAGAAGCTATTACTCTTTGCAAGACATGAACTGGGAGGTACACTAGTCCAAAGCCACTCTTTTAAAGCAAAAGGAAGTGGTAGCTGAAACCTGCAGGGAGGAAGTATTTACCATTTATGTTCCTATTCTGCATTTTTGAAAAGCCTCGTAAGATTAATTGTCAAATGACTAACTTGGATTTGGATTTTTTAAAATTCTTGCTGAAAATAATAATAATAATAATAATAATAATAATAATAATAATAATAATAATAATTTATTTATACCCCGCCCATCTGGCTGGGTTTCCCCAGCCACTCTGGGCGGCTTCCAACAAAATATTAAAATACAGTAATGCATCAAACATTAAAAGCTTCCCTAAACAGGGCTGCCTTCAGATGTCTTCTAAAAGTTATAACATCACAACTTAAAGCCATGCAGGTGTAATTCCAGTTGCTGCTTCTACTGGGCACACCATAAAAGTTTCATCGGCTCAGTATTAATGCAAGCAACCCCAAAACACCCAAGGCTGCATGCAGATGTTCTTGTTCTTGGATCTCCTACTGTGGACTTGCACAATAACATACTAAAACATTCATATTCCAAGATCAATTCGCAGCCTCACCACCACAGACCAATACACCCACCCAAACACTTCCTAGTTATGTTCCTTGGGCAACATAGTATACACTCAGGATGCTACTTTTCCTAGGCATATGCAATCTGACAAAATGTGGAATATATTAAGAAGCCTTGTCATTGGCCTCATCTAGCTCAGAATGGTCTACACTGATGGGCAGTGGCTCTCTGGGGCTTTTGGAAAAGGAGTCTTTTCCAGTCTTATGTGGCGGTGCCATGGATTTAACCCTGGGAGCCTCTGCATCGCAAATATGTGCTCTATCACTGAATTATGTTGCCAGGATGGCACCAGCAGTCTCCATATCTCCAGCTGTCTCTCAGGACGCTGTCTCTCAGGATGCTTCAGGATAAGAACAGAAATCGGGCTCCGGCGGCACGGCGGCAGCAGGAGGCCCCATTAGCTAAAGTGGTGCTTCAGGTTAAGAACAGTTTCAGGTTAAGAACAGACCCCCGGAATGAATTAAGTACTTAACCCGAGGTACCACTGTAAGGGGCTTGTCCACACCGGACTGGACTGTGAACTTGAGTCCAAGATTTCTGGGAGCCATCCTCAACCAGAACCCAGCCATCATTTGTTGTTGAGTGAAATTAGATTTCCTCAACCCTGGGAAGATCTGAAAAGCAAAGCAAAACCCAAAACAAATCCGCTGGTGCTGTTTGCATTCTCTTCAGTTAAGGCGGCCCCAGAAAGATCTATGCAATCTCAGAGTGAGGTGGGGGCATGGGGGATGGAGAATCTGGAGTTTGTATGCAGAGTGGAAGGTAAAAAAGGCCATTTTTCTCTGCTTCCCCACTTCCAGCCACTTGCTGAAGACTGGAGAAGGGACCCGCATGAGAATATGATGGGAGGGGGAGCATGACTTCGCTTTTGAAGGCGGATGAAGATTTGTTTGTGGGGCCACCTTAAGCCTTGTTGAACCTTGCAAGTGGTTGGAGCAACATTGAGTTTCTGAAACTGTGACTAAACCGTGCATTCATTTTGGGATCCTGCCCTTGTGTAGACCTGTTGTGTGCACTTGCTACATGTTATATGTGCAATGAGCCTGCACAACATGCGACTCGTCAGGTTGACTGCAGGCTGCATAATGCAGCAAAAGCTGGTGCTTGACAATTCCTGTAGCACATTGACTTCAGCAGACTGGGCCACATGTGGTACAGGCCTAGTGCCTAAGAGTACTATGAGACACTTCCGCTAATCCTTATGAGAGTCGCTGGGCATAAGAGTCAGACCAAGTTACCCATTCTCATGCCAAACCTATTTGGATTAGTTTCATGCTCTCCGATAACCTTGAGATATATATATCTTTCACTCGCTGCATTAATGGTTTCACTGACCTTGTGCAATTGATCTGCATTTTGTTGCCAGTGAGGAGACAGTTTCTTGGTACCTGCCTTTAAAATTGTGTTGTTTGTCAAGGGTTGCAGCTCTCATTACACTGATAAGGCACATTCTCCATTTCCTGGATTTCTCTGCTGAGGACTTCCAGAGCACATTTAGGCCACTCTGATTTTTAAAATATTGATAATCTTAGGAGCGGACTTTGAATACAATGTTGCCAACATACTGAAGCGCCAAACAAAAAGTGTTAAAGAAATAACAGAGTCTAAGCCACAATTTTCATTATCACAATACTCACGTTAGAGCTATGGATAGCTGAGTTATATGAAATATGAAAATCTAATTGTTTTGCACCAAATGCATTTTACAAAATGCAGGATAAAAATAGTCCAGTGCTGTTTCTCTTCTGTGCTTTCTTTTGGAGCAAGACTGCTTTTATGGTGGAGTTATTACAACCGGGTGTTTGCAATCAAAATGCTGATCCAGGCAAAATCACCACACAATAATACTAACCCCCACCCAAGGGCTGTTTGAAGTAATAAAATATGGATCAGAATAAAATTAAAGTGCTTCTGTAATGGAAGAATATGAGCTGCAATTCAACTAACTTGAAGGCCCTGGCTTTTATCCCAAATACTGCTAAGCTTTTGAGTAGGAAATAGAATCCAAAGTACTCCATCCTGCAAAGTCTTTTAATTGTGTACCAATACACAATGTAGTGTAGTGCCCATGGAAATAAAACTTATACAAGGTTAACAGTTAAAGTTCTCCCCAAAGAATCTTGGGCATCATAGTATTTACGACAATGCCATTTATTCTCTGAAAGCGATAGCTAGCCTTCTTCACAGAAAGTTACTTCACAAGAGTCTTTAGAAAGAGAATGACAAGCTAAACCTGTCTAAGACTATAGTGCAGATAGGTCCTTGTAGGATTATTCACTGCATGGTTAGTCACTGGCAAAATATCAAGCTTTGATAGCATAGTGTATCTTCATTGCATGTTTTGCAAACAGTTTGCAAAATATCTGTCCAAAACAGAATTTATCTTTATTGCACTGAACAAACAAACAGCACACAAGAACATCCTAGCTATAGAACAAAAGAAAAGAATGAATTTGTGCTGCTTTCACCACACTGAAAGTGCTGCTTCTGCACATAACCTGCAGCAAATTGCATGTACACCAGGGTCAAAACAAGCTTGAGGCATGATCCAATACAAGCCCCATAAAGCCAGAACTTCTGAAGACTTTCCCAAACAGAGCTCACCACAAGGAGACTGAAAACTCACTTGGGGTAGGGGGTGGGAAGGAAAGGTCTTGCAAATCCAAAGCCATGGATGTCACCCAAAGGCGCTAAGCTGTGTTTCCTCCAACAAAACAAAATCTTAGTTTAATATTGACTCTCAAATGCCAATCCAAATTTCTTTCAACTGAAGCTGTAACGCAAGCCCAAAATTCTGATACTTACAAGTATTGCTTCCAACTTTATCTCTAATTCAAGTTGCCCATCATAACTATTCATTGTGAACTGAGGTTCTGACAGCTAGCAGAAGCATACGGTATATTGCAGCCATTTAGAGAGAAAAGGAATGTGGTTCTTAATTGATTGGTGATGTGGTAGTGTTGTGTTGTATTATTTATGCAAATTGATTTCCTCTGAAGTTAAATATCTGACTGGGACAAACCTTGTTACGCTGAGCTCGTATTTTGCACAATTTGTATACGGTGTCTGTTTGATAATGTGTGGTTTGCTATGCCTAATAAAGGATATTTGATATTAGAAAAGGAATGTGTGCATGGCGGAGAAGCCAGGACTGCAGACTACAAAAAGTCCTACCTAGACCCTGCTCTAATCTAAGCCATCAGCAAATCCACCCTTATGTCACCAAGTTCTTCCTCTGGAAGGAAGTTCTGCACCACATTCCAGGTTGTACACTTGTACAGCAAATTCACTCATACAATGTGCATCGTCCTGCCTACATTAGTATCTGCATTTTCAATGTGGCAGTTTTAAAACACTAGGTCTACCTAAAAATTAAGGCATCTCAGACCAGCAACATGTAAGTACCTCAAATGCAACAATTAGGTGCCCCTTTCAGTAGAGAAAAAAATGACAAAATAATGGGCTCCATATACTGATATCAGTTGTATCCTGTTTGTGTAATATTCTTGCTTTTCAAGGAATGGAAAAGTTGGCGTCTCAACAGACAAAATGACTTTCATTTATAACATACAGAATGCACCTAAGCAAATGGTGTTTTGAGTAATTCCAGTGGTTACATATTAATCTGCTATGGCTGGGTAGAGGCTCAAGAATCTTGTTTTAAAGCCAGAACCGCATGACAGAGAGTTACTCAAGCACTTCAAGAAGAGCCATGGGTGCCCTTTATTAACAGTTGACCTTCCTTGATACACAAAACACTTCTTTCAAAAAACCTGTTTCCACCAAAAACACAGAAGCCAATAAACTAATGGCTTCAGCATTATACTCTAAATATGTCTCTGCAACTAAGAATGTCATACTAATTTTTAATTTCCCTCCCAGTGCTTCTTAAGAACACACACACACACACACACACCCCCCTACCTTTTTAAAAAAAGCTTAACAGACTAAAGTCTAATGAGAAGGAATTCCTATCTAAATGCAAATCAAGGTACACCAATCTTGAATGCACAAATCGTTACAAATGGAAGTTTTCCCACCATCTCTGAATGAAACATGCCACAATTTATAGCTTTTGCACATGCTTCCAGTTCTTCTCTCTGAAATAGTCATGTCTAAACCATAGTGCTTCCAACTCAAATTGTGCAAGCCTCAAACCTTCCTACTGTGTAGGAATATATGTGTTTCAAGTTAAATTGAGAATATATATATACTTATTCTTGGATCATCTGCCACTATTGGTTTTGCTCCAGTAAAGTCAAGAGATGGAGACAAAACAAGGGTGGCTCTTCTGCTCAAATGGCAAAGAAAGTGACTAATGGTTGCACTGCCCAGGTGAGCTGGACAGGTGGAGTTATTTTTGCATTCACTGGCACCAAAGTGGACAGCTTTCGGGCCTTGTAGTGATTCAGCCACTCAGCGGCAGCAGTCATTACAACCTTCTCCTTCCCATCAGCCTGGCAAACAACAAGCCTTGTATTTTATCTTATTGTACAGGGCTTATTTAAGTCTTGAGGTTGTCTTCAGGATGGAACAGACATAGCATACTAGTGATAGGACTGGGGAAAAGAAGAAGAAGAAAAAGAAGAAGAAAAAGAAGAGAGTCTTGGGCTAGAAGAGCAGAGCAAGGGTACACATAATCTCGAACTTTTTCCATTGCATATCCATTGCTAAACAGTCAAGAAATGTTACATCTGCACTGGCCCAATCAAATCACCGACATTTAGGACACATGCATTTAAGATCCTCTTTACCTTTTGGCTTATTATGAGCCTGAAAAAAGCACGTCAGTCAGTTATGAGAAGTGCCATTCCACTTTCCCCTTGAGAAATGAATCAGCTGTCCACCCCAGTGACTGGCCTAAGGCAGCACTGCAGGCCCTAGCCAGAACTAAGTTAATTGCAAATCTGCCAAAGGGCTGAACCAGGCAGAGCTGATGTTAATGGCTTCTCGGCAGCATAAAGCAATGGAGCTAATGAGGAAGAGAATGGAACTTCCATTTCCCCCATCGCAAAAATTGTACCTGGAGACAGACTTTGTAGAAATATAACTGATTCAAGTGATATAAATTACAATTAATCGTGTAATCCAGTTTAGGAGGCTGGCAGAGAGTTTTTCCTTTCACTCTGCAACTTGCGGGAGGAAAACGGCCATCTGTTTCATTTATTTAGCAGACGTATTGCAGGACGTGAGACTCCTTGTTCAAGGGCTCCCTGAACAGATTAGTCCCCCCGTAGTTTATTTTGCAGCAAGCGTAAAATGTCATTCAGTAAAGTACAAAATCTTTCTTGTGGCTTATATAACGCCTGTGCAGTTCTGGGGTTTGAGAAAAGGTGTGTTAACAGTGCACACGATTATCGGTATAGCAGCCCAAGATACTGTTTGAGTAGCCAGAATTCACTTATTAATTAAAACCATTTATATACCGCCTTCCATGTAAACATCACAAGACAGTGTGCAAGAATACATTAAGATAAACAAATTACCGTAGTCCTTCAGGTCAAAACAGTTGTATTAAGTAAACTAAGTATTAAGCTAACAAATACAGGATAGCTCAATCGGTAGAGCATGAGAATCTTAATTTCAAGGTCATGGGTTTGAGTCCCACACTGGGCAAAAGATTCCTGCATTGCAAGAGGTTGGACTAGATGACCCTTGTGGTCCCTTCGAATGCTACAGTTATATGATTCAACTTTTGCAGACATTGAAATGCCATCAATGTCGGCAGCTGCCTTAATTCAGACGGAAGACGAATCCAAATAGAATGTTTCAGTGTATAACAGTTCTCACAAAGAGAGGGACAGTTTTGGTTTTGAAACAGATGAAGGGAGCTGGAACGATATATATATATATATCGTTCCAGCTCCCTTCATCTGTTTCAAAACCAAAACTGTCCCTCTCTTATATATATAAAAGCAATAAAATTATGTAGTATAAGAATGTAAGAAACAGCCATAAGACAGTTTTTCTGTTCAAAGAAAATATTTTGTGTATGGATGGCCATCTGTCATGGATGCTTTAGCTGAGATTCCTGCATTGCAGGTAAAGGTAAAGGGACCCCTGAACATTAGGTCCAGTTGTGGCCGACTCTGGGGTTGCGGCGCTCATCTCGCTTTACTGGCCGAGGGAGCCGGTGTACAGCTTCCAGGTCATGTGGCCAGCATGACTAAACTGCTTCTGGCGAACCAGAGCAGCGCACGAAAACGCCGTTTACCTTCCCACCGGAGCGGTACCTATTTATCTACTTGCACTTTGACGTGCTTTTGAACTGCTAGGTTGGCAGGAGCAGGGACTGAGCAGCGGGAGCTCACCCCATTGTGGGGATTCGAACCGCTGACCTTCTGATCAGCAAGCCCTAGGCTCTGTGGTTTAATCCACAGCGCCACCCGCGTCCCTTGCACTGCAGGGGGTTGGGCTAAATGACCCCTGGGGTCCCTTCCAACTCTACAGTTCTGTGATTCTATGTGTGTGGGAACTGTTGCAACACATTGCCTAAAATTTAGCCACATTGGTATCAAACAGACCTCTCTAGCGAGGGCATTCCAAGACCAACACCTCCATTCCAGGCCTTCTCTTTGGTCACTGTGAATCTCACCCTAGATCAAGGGTGGGTTACTTGTAACCCTAGGTCCACATAGAGCCCTCTTACAAATTTCACACGGTGGCAAAGTGGGAGGAGAGGGAGAAACTTCTGGTTCTGTGAGGACTAAGGATCAAAGACTATTTCCAAAAAGCATTACTAAACTAAAATTCCCATGAGTCCTTGGACAGAGCCCTGACAGTTCAGATACTATGTTAATTACCCACCCTTCACCCTAAGATGCCACACTGGTTAAAACAATTATATCCATCTGTGGTGCAGACAACCTGCCCAAAGTGTGTTGTATACAACAGTGGTACCTCGGGTTAAGTACTTAATTCGTTCCAGAGGTCCGTTCTTAACCTGAAACTGTTCTTAACCTGAAGCACCACTTTAGCTAATGGGGCCTCCTGCTGCTGCACGATTTCTGTTCTCATCCTGAAGCAAAGTTCTTAACCCGAGGTACTATTTCTGGGTTAGCGGAGTCTGTAACCTGAAGCGTATGTAACCCGAGGTACCACTGTACTGTCATACTCCTCAAACCACGTATGCACATATCTCATTTTAAGGAAATGATCAGTGAAGCATCACTGGAGTGAATCGGGATTAGGCAGAAGTAGCACTTGGCCAAAGGACACACATTCAGCCAGTCTGCTATAATTGACTAAAGGACTGTAGAGCAAGGCCACATCCCTAGTGCAAAACCATCAAAATTATCAACAGGTTCCTTTTATCCTTGCCCTCAGTTCCAACTGAAAACATGACAGTGATGAATCTGCAATAATAACTATTTTGAGTTCACATCAGTCACCCAATGCAGAGGAAACATTTCCCAACCCACTGCTGAGACATTCTCCAATATTATTATGAGTCAGCTGCCCCAAAGCATCTCATTTTCCAGTGGCTAAACCTAGCCTGTTGCAGGTTTTTGCTTTTTGTTTTTAAGTGCAGACTCTGTTTTTAAAAGCAATCTTATGCCTCCTCCTCCTCTCCTCCTGGGCTTCCCAATGGCTTAGCTGGTGTGGCACTGAGTATGGACAGAGAGCAGTCCCCACTGAGCAGGAGCAAGCAGCGAGAGCAAATATTACTGGACAACTTAGGGAAAGCCACCATTTCATTCCCAGTACACGACATCATCTGTGAAATGGGGTAATGCACACTTTTAAAAAATCCAGCAGCTTCATTCTCCATGTGTAGCTTAGTAACAGAACAATCACAACCGTATCTACTTCAAAGTAAGTCATACTGAATTCAGTGGGGCTTACTATCAGGGTAAGTGGGCTGAGGACTGCAGTCTAAAACACTAAGCTTTGAATCAGCAAGACCTCTGTCATAAACTCTTAAGGGCTGCTTCGACACTGAACATTTTTACTTATGGAAGTCACACTTCCTTCACTCTAATTTTCAGAGGCATCTGTAGTGATAAAAGCATCCTCCTCCCATGTTTTGCCTGTTCA